TTTTCTTGAGCCATTTCATAACCTCACAGAGGCTCTCCATTTTAAAGTCATTTTTGCTTTTAAAAAGTTTAAGTATTAGGCAGGGCTAGAGAGATGGCTCAGCATTTAAGAGCACTGGCTGCTCTTGCAGAGGACCTGGGTTCAATTCCCAGCATCCACATGGTGGCTAACAACTAATGTTTGTAACTCCAGTTCCAAGAAATCTGACACCCTCTTCTGACCTCTACAGGCATTGCATGACATGGGTGTACTTACATATATGCAGGGAATAGACTCACGTGCATAAAATAAAAATAATAAAATATTTTTTTCAAAAAGTTTCGGGGGGGCTGGAGAGATGGTTCAATGGTTAAGAGCACTGGCTGCTCTTGCAGAGGTCGAGGGTTTGATTCCCAGCACTCACGTGGCAGCCAACAACTCTTTGTAACTCCAGTTCTAAAGGATCCAACACCCTCTTCTGATCTCCATGGGTATTACACAACACAGGTGTGCTTACACACATGCAGCAATATAACTCACACATAAAACAAAAATAAACTTTAAAAAAATTTTTTAAGTTCAAGGATCAAACAGAGCCATCCCCTCCAAACAGCATCACAAAGACTGTGCTATCAAGAGCATCAGTATCACTTCTAAGGTCCTTCTAGTTCATGAGCAGTAATTTATGTGGGTATAATACATACCAAAGTAATTACATAATAAAAAATAATAAATAATTAAAATGCCTGTCAATCGAGAGCTGGTTTAAACACCAAGGTTCAGATATGTGGTAGATGCACTGTCCCTCTTGTTAAGAACAAATGATTTCTGTCTTAATGTGTATTCCTAGATGTACTGTCAAATGACAAACAACATTCAGAAAAGTGTTCATAACATTCAAACATTCCTGTGGAAGGAAGGAGTATATGCACATGTTTATAACATAGACTGTTCCTAAAAGAACATGGAACAAACTGGTTACAAGGGTGCTCCTCAGGGAAGGAAGAGAGGTGGGCACAAAAGAGAGACAGAAGGCTTTGATTTTTCACTCTAAAATCTACTTCTTTTTTATTATTTTTATTTTATGTGTATGAGTGTATTGCCTACATGTATGTGAGTGTACCTGTGTCATGCCGCAGAGGTCAGAAGGGGGCTTCAGATTCCCCTGGAACTGGAGTTAGAGACGGTTCATAGCCACCATGTGGGTTCTGGGAATCAAACCCAGGTCCTCTGCAAGAGTAGTCAGTGCTCTTAACCACTGAGCCATCTCTCCAGTCCCTAAAATCTACTTCTTAAATTAAAAAAAGGAGGGGGGTACATGTCAGAGGACATTTGATATTCAGTTCTCTTCTTCCATCATGTGGGCCTCAGGGATAGAATTCTGATTATCAGGCTTAGTGGCAAGCACCTTTACCTAATGAGCCATCTCACCAGCTCCTTCTACAGCTTAGATTTTGTATTACAGTACTCATTGGACAGTGTAATTTATTTGGTGGTCCCTCAGGAAACAAAGCATAGAATTACCATATGACCCAATAATTCTATTCTTCAAAAGAACTGAAGATCTGGAGTCCAACATACAATATGCCAATACAGATTTCTGGGCCTCCCCAACTGGCCTGGAGTTGCTTTGTAGACCAGGCTAGCCTCAAAGTCACAGCAATCTGCCTGCCTCTGCCTCCTGAGTGCTGGCGAGACCATGCCTAGCCAGTACTGACTGATAGCAACTTTATCCCGGTAGCCACAAGGTAAAAACAATCTAACTGTCCAGCAGTCGATGAATTTGTATACATAGTACAGTATATTATCCAGCCACAAAAGGGAAAGAATTCAGGCACATGCTGTAGTGTTAAGCTAAGAGAACAGGCCAGACACAAAAAGACTCCACGTAATTGCAGAATCTAGAAAAAGAAAATTGATAAAGACAGAAAGTAAATTAGAGATCACTGGGGGCCCTGGGGAAGAAAGACGAGTAGTTATCAACTAGTCACAGAATTTCTATCTGGGACGATGAAAATATTTTGGAATAGTTGTACTGGTTACACAGAATTATGAAGAGAATTAATGACAAGGAATTACACACAATGGGTGAAATGCCCAACTTTATCTTACATATGTTAACCATAATAGGATTCAAATTAAATGAAATTAAGGGGAAAAAATGTTCAGTGCAGTTCTTTGCTTCCCAGAAGCATTCTTACAAGCTGACCCACTCTTCCCAAGCATCCTGAGTGTACAGTGAGGGCGAGGGTCTGCTACTACTGATCACTTCCATCCTGTGTGTATGAACAGCCAACCCTCAGCCTAGCCCAGGAGACAGATGAGAACATCACAATGGAGCAAGGTACAATGGACGCAGGGTGAACTTCCTGGCCACCGGCTGGGGGAAGCCAGAGGCAAAAGTGACTGGGTTCAGACCACAGATTCAGGGGAGCACAGAGAAAGGTGATCTGAGGCTGGTAGCTGAGGAGCCAAGTGTCATCAGCAGGAAGGGGCTGCTGGGGTAGGTGTAGGGGTGTGCTGGATAGCTTTAGTGTCAAGTTGACACACCTGGGTTGAGGGAGCCTCAATCGGGGAATTGCCCCTATTGGACTGGCCTGTGGCCATGTCTGAGGGGCATCTTCTGGATGAGTGATGTGGGACCAGCCCACTGTGGGTGGTGCCACCCCTGGGCAGGTGGGCCTGTGTTGTATAAAAAAGCAGGCTGAGCAGGGGCCAGGGGAGCAAGCCAGTAAGCAGCATTCCTCCATGGCCTGTGCTCCAGCTCCTGCTTCCAGGTTCCTGCCCTGAGTTCCTACCTTGGGCTCCCTGATGAACTGCGTGCGACCTGGGAGATATAAGCTGAATAAGCCCTTTCCTCCCCAAGTTGGTATTGGTCAGAGTATTTTGTCACAGCAATGAAGAAACAAACTAGGACAAGGGGGAAGCTCACTGGAACATGATTCTAGAAAGGCAGCAGAGGCTAAGTGGTATCAATCCTTAAATGGCCACTTGAGCTCATCTGGACTTTGGGAAAGGAGCTCGGGTCTGCCTCCTGTTCTCCTCTATCCTGTTTACTATTTAAAGCTTGTGCCTTCTCTCCTTATCAAGCAGATAGTTTAGACTATTTACATTGTCTTTGTTTTCTTCCCAACCCAAACTATGTTTGCCATCTAGTGAGTAATCACTGACATTACAACAGCCTGCTTCAAATAAATGCCTTGTTCTCAGCCCAGCCACCAGGCTGACTGGGCACCACACTCCAGACTGTTGACTGTCACTTCTGTCACGTGACCTCAGTGTACACCAACATTCAGACATCACCAGTCAAATCTGAGCCTTCAGAGTAGCAATAAGAGCTATAAGAATGAGCAGTGTAGTCATTTAGAAGAAAGGGAGCCATGAAAATTAAGTATGAAACTTTAAGTAGGATGACACGTGAGAATTGACCAGTAGCAAAGCGTGCTCAGGCAAAATGTTGTGACTGTTTGCTAACTATAAGGTACATCACATTCATTTCCAGACTTTTTGTATATCTTTTTAATTAATTAATTAATTAATTTATTTATTTATTTATTTATTTATTTGTATGAGTGTATTGTCTGCATGTAGGTGGGTGTACCCATGTTGTGAAATGCCTGAGGAGGTCCAAAGAGGGCATTGAATCCCCTGGATGGTTGCTAGCCATCATGTGGAAACTGGGAATCGAACCTGGGTCCTTTGCAAGAGCAGCCAGTGTTCTTAACTCCTGAGCCATCTCTCCAGTCCCCCTTATAAATACAGACTGTCTTTAACAGTTTGGGGCTGCTGTTAAGTGGTATATCCAGCCTGTGGCCAAGCACAGCTACAAATACTACCCAACTCAATACTGTAAACTTACATAAAGCATTATGAGGTTTTTGGTAACTCTACTGTGCGGTTCTCAAGTACGACCTTTGTGGATGACAGTCCTGCCTCAGTGCCAAAAGATAATTTGAGTTTCTGAATACATGTCAAAAGAGAGCTACATTTTCTTCATCTGTGATATTGTTAAGTAGATTCCTTCACCTTCAAAAGATGCCCCCAAAATACTGCATTACATAAGCTGGCATTTAAACTCTAGTTGGGACTGTCTCAGTGGGTAAAGGTGCTTGCCACACAAGCCTGGTGACCTAAATTCAATTCGTGGAACCCCTGTAAAGGTGGAAGGAGAAAACCAAGCCTGAAAAATTGTACTCTGACCTCCACACATAGACTGTGGCACATATGCAATAATGATAATTTTTAAAAATAAATAAGGGTCAGCAGGTAAAGGTGCTTGCTGCCAAGCCAGACAACTTGAGTTTGATCCCCAGGACCCACCTGGTGGAAGGACAGAACTGACCCCCGTGTGTTTTTTCTGATCTCCAGCCGTGCATGTACCCACACACATACATACACAAATCAATACATAAATGTAGTAAAACAAGATAGAAATAAAAATCACTCAGAATTCTTAAAGAATCCCTGGTAACATTTTGCAGCTGGAACCTTCGCATTTCTAAACAATGATGACTTCGGTTTTGGAAAATATATTGAATCCTGTGTGTTTGTTTGTACCTAAGGCTTGGGGAGTGGAACTCCACACTAATGAATGGAATGCCTAGCTGTGGACTAAGTGCTTATGGATGTAACTTGTTTTATCTATCTGACTATCCATCCATCCATCTATCTGGATACATATATATTTATTATTTATTAATAATATAGTAATTATATTTATATTATGCATTTATATTAAATATAAATATAATATATAAAATTGAAATATAAGATGGACGTGATGGCACATGCTTTTAGTTCCAGCACTTGGGAGGAAGAGGCAGATGTATCTCTGTGAATTCGAGGCCAGCCTGGTCTAATCAGTGAATTTCAAGTCAATTAATAGTACATAGTGAGACCTTGCCTCAAAAAAAATTTTAAATATAAAACTATTGTGATAACAGCTTTTTCTAAACTTTGTCATATGTCGCTTCCATGAGCTCCAAGCAAGGCTTTTTTACACTGAATTCTGTCCTGCAAAGGATTATGGTACAGAAGAGAAAGAAGCTACAATTCCCACTTTCCTGACAAATTCTGCTTATTGTGCAATGTACAGCTCTGCAGTGGCGGGACCCAGCGCTCCCAGCCCTAAAGTGTGGACAGTGTTGTGCGAAAAGCCATTCACTTGGTCTCTGAAACCCCAGCAACTGCCTGACTGTCATTTTAACTAGTGATTTATCTTCTTTTTTTGATGAATTTCTGTGCATGTGGCTTTTGTAGGGAAGGCCGGCGGTACCGGGTGTACGTTGTGATTCCGCTGCTGCCCGGCTTCGAAGGAGACATTTCAACAGGCGGAGGAAACGCTCTCCAGGCGATAATGCATTTCAACTACAGGTGCTCAAAGTCCAGAGCCTCTCTCCCCACCTTCCCATCGATGCACCGGGCATGGACTCGGGTGAAGGGAACACACGGGGTGTCTGTGCATCTATTCTGTGAAACAAATGAACACAGCTCTTTATTTTCTTTCAAATCTTAGTCCTTACTGACAAAATTCGAACGGCACTTACAGTTATACGTGCTGGTGTTAGGATCCACCACAAATGTAAAAGCACCAAGATATTAGTGCCTCTCTACCTTCATTATTTATATATATAATATTGGTGAAAAATTATGTCTGTGCCACTAAATAGTCATTGAAACGTCTTTATTCTTTTCAGCAAGTAGAAAAAAACCAGGAAAGTTAAATGCTTAAAATGGTGCAGTTTGAATGCTTTTGACAGTAGGCCTTTCAAGGTTGTAATAATCTCTGTTAGGAAACAAAAATTCCTGTCTCCTAGAGTTTCACTCTTTTTTCTATTATACCTTTGTTAAAATTGAAGGGTAAATGGTGAGTCTTACGCTTGATATTTGAAAAACTGAACTTTCTATGCCCCTCGGAAAGGCTTGGCTTTCCTTGGCTTCAGACCTGAAGTGGAGCCATGGGAGGATCGGGAGGGGCCTGAGCAGAAGGCCCTGGAAAGCACACCTGCTCTTCTTAGACTCACTTGTCAAGGAGAGAGCAGGAAGAGGAAGAGAGAGCTCCGGCCTGGACATGAATCCAATCAGACACCAGTGAGGTCCACACCGGCTCATGCTCTTAGAAATGCAGAGTGGATACTACAAACCTGCGTGTTTTCTTTTAAATTCACATTTTCTAATCATTCTTTTGGGGGTAAGAGGGAATAATGAGACCTTACACTGGACCAAGCAGAAGGGCTCAGGGCCTCATTCAACTTGGATAGGGGGTTTAGATGCCCCCTGCTTGGCCCTAGAGAATTCCAACTGATTCTGAAGGCATAGTCTAACTGCACCACTGGAGTGAAATTTTGTTGTTGTTGTTGTTTGAAACAGGAGCTCATGTAGTCCAGGCTGGCTATGAACTCCCTATGTAGCACAGGATGACCTTGAATTTCTGATCCTCTTGCCTCTGTCTTCCAAGTGCTGTTATTACATCATGCCTGGTTACACACTGCTGGGATGAACCCAGGGCTTTGTGCGGTCTAGGCAAGTTTTCTACCAAGGAGGTTACATCCTAGAACAGTTGTTCATGTTTTGTTTTGTTTTGCTTTGCTTTTTTTTTTTGAGATAGGGTCTTACTATGTAGACCAGGCTGGCCTGGACCCCCAGAGATCCACCTGCCTCTGCTTCTGCCTGCCAACAGCTAGGATTAAAGGCATGCACCATCACACCAAGTCTGCTGATGGTTTTTGGTTTTTGTCTTCTTTTTCTTTTCTAATCCTCTTGTTTTGCTGACCCTTCAAACTTGGGTCAAGGTTTCAAGTAAAGATTTGTCTTGTTGCTGTTTTCCTGGAATAAATTCTGGTTTGGGTGACCGTGGTTTGATGCTTGGATTGAAGATGGGTCCATTTCTAATGTTATCTGATTTATTACATGACCTACAAACCTTTTTGCCTGTGAGTCACAGGCATGATGTTTAATTGGACCTTATCTGCCTCCCTGGCCATTCTAATATTAATTTTGGAATCTTGTCAGTTGTAATTATTTCCTGTGCCTGTTTTCTTGAGTTTGAACCAACTGAATGAGATACATACTTAGCTGTTGTTCAGCAAGCCAAACTATAACCTTTCGTTATGCAAAAACATCTCTATTTGCTGGCATCATCTTTAATAACATCAATCTTTCCAGGCATAGCTACATTTATAATTACTTTCATGGAGCATAGAATTTTTGTTTTTTTCTTTTCTTTTTTTTTAAATACATTACATTTTCATTATAATCCAGGTCAAATACTTTCAAGTTTCTTTTTTAATTTTAAGGTTTTTATTAGTATATATTAATTATACATAACGAGTTACATTATGACTTTTTTCATACATGTATGTAATGTGTTTTGATCATATTCACCCTCCACTGCCCTCTCTTGTCCCCTCCTACTCCTGCTGATCCCCTTCTTCCTCCAAACTAGTCCCTCTTCTGCTTTTATGTATTTTCTTTTGGGTGGTGGGGGGGTTGGATTTGGGGGGACAGAACCTCCCTATAGCTCCAGCTGGCATGGAACTTGCTATGTAGACCAGGCTGGGCTTGGTCACACAAAGATCCACCTCCCTCTGCCTCTCAAGTACTGGGATTAAAGGCCACCACGCCTGTCATGCCTTTTTTAAAAAACAAAACAACAAAACAAAAACCATTGGGCTTCATTAGGGTTGCTTACAGGAGTGTAGGTACCTTACCACTGAAGAAAATGTCTCTTCTTCCCCCAGTAACCACTGTAGATCCTCAGGGAAGGGATGGCCTTAGGAACCTCTTTCTATTCCATTGAGAGTCATCAACATTTGTCAGCTTGAGAAACAAAATCATTAGCAGACTCAGTTATTTAAATTTTTATTTTTCACATTTACGGGGTTTTACTGACTTGATAGAAATAACCCAGTATAACAGTCTGCTTGATTCCCGAACCTCTGCAAAGAGCCCACTCCTTTTACTTCAGAACACAATGTGACTTTAGAAATGCACTTATCTATGGAGACATTCTAAATTTATCTTTGCTGTCACCAGATTTTGTAAGGGCAAGGTCATTCACAGCCCATCTTCTAAAAAAGACAGAAACAGCTTCTCTTCTGAAATCTGGTATTAGTTTCAGAACTTTCCCATTGATTCACCTCAAAACAACTGCCTTGTCCTATTATAGAAAAGATACTCAGATTATGGTTTTAGCCTTTGAAAATCTGCATAGCACTTCTCACAAAAGCACTCATTACATCTTTGCTTGGATTACGATTATAGCCACAGGTGTTGCTATTAGAATTGTTGTTTTGTAACCCTCCATAACTAAACTGTGCTTTTACTTATTTTCAGAACCATGTGCAGAGGAGAAAACTCCATCTTTGAGCAGTTAAAACCAGAGCGTGAGTCACTGTTTTTCTTTTCCTCTGTGATGGTTTCTAGGAAGCACTAGGAGTCATTAGGATTAACTGTGAAGACAAGGTATCAGTAATCTTAGTTATTTCCTTTGTTGCTGTGAAGAACATCTGACAGGCATCCTAGGGGAGGAAGGGCTTATTTTGGCTCACAGTTCATCATGGAGGGGAAGGTGTGGCAGCCGGAGCTCGAGGCAGCTGGTCCTATGGCATCAGGAAGCACAGAGATGGGTGCAGCTATCTGGCCCCCTTCTCTATTTTTCAACCTTGGGCTTGGCCCATGGAAAGGTTCTACACATATTCAGGGTGGGTCTTCCCACCTCAGTTAACCTAATCTAGAAAATCCCTCATGGATGTGTTGAGGGGTTCTAAATCCTATCAAATTGACAATTAAGTCTGGGCATCATAGGATCTAGGAATATTTACACAGTATGTCTGTAGAACTCCGTTCCCATAAGCCTCTCCACAAAATACTCAACCGAAGCTTTGCTCATTGGATCCCCAAATCAACTCTCAGATGAAAACCTTGTCCTTGGGATGCCTGGGTAATGAGCAACAAAGATGTGCTGCCATTCCTCTTGATTTATTTCTGTAATCTCTTAACAATAGCTGAGGCACCACACAAGGACTGTGCGTTCATGTCGTTGGGTTATCCTCTGCCACAGCCCTGCGCGGCTTGCTCCTGTTATAAAGATGAAGGAACAGGCTCTGCAAAGTGAATGGGTATTTATTGCTTCCTATTTATGCAGAAGTCCTGGGTTTAGTGTAGAAAGCCTATAACATAACTATATTCATAACCTTTGAGGCTGTTATACATGAATAAGAAAACAAACAAAATATTGCCTTTCACTTCTGCAGTTCTTTCTAAAGCTGTCTTTAGACTCGAATGAAAGGAAAAGGAAGAATGAAGTAAAATGTTGGCATATCATGCTTGTAAGGGACTGGCATCCAGACTACATCAAGAATTCTTACAATTCAGTAATAAAAGGGAAAATAACTCATTTTTAAAATAGACAAAGGGGACTGGAGAGATGGCTCAGGGGTTAAGAGCACTGGCTGCACTTGTTGCACAGTGGCTACCAACCATCTGTAACTCCAGTTCCAGGGGATCTGACACCTTCTTCTGACTTCCACAGGCATTGCATGACATGGGTGCACCTACCCACATGCAGGCAATAATACACTCATACACATAAAATAAAAATAATAAATAAAAATGTGTTTAAAATAGGCAAAGGACCTAAATAGACATTTTATTTTAAAGAAGGCACAGAGAGGGCCAATAACCACATGAAAAAATATTTAATATCATTAGCCATTTGTGAAAATCACATGACCTGCAACTTCACACCCACTGGGATGGTGAAAATAATGGCAATGTCTTGGCAAGGATGTGCAAATAATGGAGTCGGATTGATGTTGGAAGTGCAAGATGGTACAGAGTCTTCTGAAAACAGTTTGTCAATTACTCATAAGTTAGGCATGGTGTTCTACATAAGCCTGAAATTCTCTTTAGTGTGTACCAAATTAGATGGGCATGAGGGGTGTTTAAAACATCTTAAAATGAGGTAGTGGTGACAGCTGTACGGTTTTGCGCGTATATTTTTTAAAAAATCTACTGAACTGGACCTGAGGATATAGCTCAGTTGGTAGAGTGGTTGTTTCACAAGCACAAAGCACTGGGTTCCTTCCCAGCACCACAGAAACCAAGTATGGTGACGCACACCTGTAATTTCAGTACTTTGCTACATAGAAAGTTCAAGGCCAACCTAAACTACGTGGAGGTGGGGAATGTCAAACTCTGTCTTGGAAAAAAAAAGTCTACTTTATTTCTTTTCATTTTTGCAGTTTTAGGGCTTGAAACCAGGCCTTCACACATGCTGGGCAAGGGCTCTGTCACTGGGCCGTAGCCTTAGCCCTGAACTGTACAGTTAAAAAGGCTAAATTTCACACTATATAATTTTTGGTAAAAATGTATATATTTTATGAATTTTTCAGGGATTTGGAAGCTCTAAAAAGAATGGCTTAAATATACATATATATTATGTGTGCACACATGTCTGTTATTGCCCCATATTAACTAATTTCTCACTGATGGTGTGTTCAATCTCTAAAAACCCGGAAAATGATTTTAGACATAAGTTATGCATATCACCAGTAACAAATACTTTCCACATGTGGGGCCTAATCATATCCAGGAGAGACAGATTTAACCTTGATCTCTATGGATGGATGAGTCAATCTATAAAAGATATATTGATAAAAGAAAATTAGGAAAGGCATTGAATGCTGGGTAACACAGGCTTGTAAAATTGCAAATGTGGGCTTATAGGAGAATAAAAAATCGAAACAAACTTATTATTTCGTTCCTCAACTATAAAAATGTCTTGAGCTTAAAATAAAGCATTTTATTTGGCTCTGGACCCTCTTCCTGCCTTTGCCATTCAGGAGAAATAAATTGGATTTTAACACAAGAAACAATTTCTGTGGTAAGCCTGCTTGGGAAAAACTTTCCAAGTACCCTGGGAACAAGTCAAAATAAGGCCTCTCTGTGGGGGAAATGTTCATATTCTAAACGTAGAGAGAAAAGATTAATTACACGGTGTCCTTTTCTGAAGTAAAAGGTCGTATTGTTGGTTTTGTTTTTGTTAATGTGTGGTGGGTTTTAAAGACATGAGCGTACTAATCTCTAATTGGGTAGAGAAATACAGTTCGCCTGTTGGTGTTTCAATTATTCAGAATAACAAAAGTGCAGCTGTGGATACGTTAAAGTCCCTGAAAAGAAATCCAGCCGCTGTAATTATCTGATCCTATAATCTTCAGAGACTTAACGTTCAGTCAAAAGCATTTCTTTGCCACTTTTATAATTTTTGTGAATTAGGGTATTTTAGAGCCAAGTTAGTGTAATTTGAGGGCCAGAGACATTTGAGCAGGTTTGGAAATGGACAAACACATACCTAGTCCTGCGACTGTTAAGTAACGATCCTGGAATAACTCTTGATACCATTTGTTGTGTTGAACTCTGTCTTCCTTGGAGGAAGTCACACGGCAGTGTTGATGACAGCTATGTTCAGGGACCCATGTACGTCTGCAAATTCACAAATATTTTTGTGACACAATTTGAAAACTTGCCCCAGGCTGGCCCTTTTTTTACTGCTGTTTCTGTGTTTGTGAATTTCTGTGTTTTCATCAAAAGGTGTTTATTTGCCCCCTTATGTCTTTGTAGCATAATTTAACGCACACCAGCTTTGAATTCGTTTCACGTGAAGCCTGTTTCATTCACAGAAGACAGTATGATTATCTGTTTTCCTTTCACAAAGTGCACGGGGCAGATTCACTGGTGTCATAGACAGGCTCCCTGGTGGGTCTGACAGGCCATACTTGATTATCCACAATGTCACCTTTCTGGCTAGGAGCCCTTGTTTCTTTTAGATCCTGTTACAGGCACTGTTGATTTTCTTCTCAAGGCCATTTTTTACCTTGTGAGCTTTACTGCCTGAGTGAGGCTGGGCAGGAGGCTGAGGGCGCTGTGGGCTGGGCACCTCTGACTGGCAGATTCTGGGCTGATGTGCCCTAGGTCTGCTATGGAATGACACAAACTTGAGCCTCGGACACTACACATATGACGTGGCTTAAAGTCTAGTGTGTTAGCAGCTAGTCAATATCACTCATCTTTAAAAAAAATTTTTTAAATAATTCGAGTCTTTAAAAACTTTTTTAAGTCATTTTATTATTACTGGGTGATGGAGTTTGTGCTATATCTCTTGTGCTGGCAAGCAGAAGACAACTTTCAGGAGCTGGTTCTCTCTTTCCACCTTTATGGGTTCTGGGGGTTGTACTCAGGTCCCAAGGTTTGTGAGTAGCTTTCTATTGCTGTGATAAAACATCTGGCCAAAGCAAACAGAGGTTTATAGGGTTACACATTATTCATCACAGTAGTATGGGTTTATAGATCCATATTTTATACAGTGCGTTATGATTTTGATGTTTGGCCTACCCAGGTTTGACTGGTAGAGACTTTTGAAAATTGACTAAATGTTCTCGACTTCTTCCCCCCAACCCCCACAGCCTTCTGTTTTCACTGACATAACAGGGTATTCGAGGTTCACACATTTCCAACACCCACTGGGAACAGCCACTTCTCCAAAGAGCCCAGGTCTTTTAATGAAAGGTATTTAGAAAACAAAATCTGGGTGTTAGGAATGATGGCTGCTGTGGGGGTACCCCCATTGCAGGTCCTCTGTGTGCACACAAACTCCTTCCCACCCGTCTCTGTCTCTTTTTCCATCTCTCTTCCTCTCTCCTCTTCCTTCCCTTCTCCTCCCCTTCCTTCCTTTCCTTTCTGTGCTAGAGCTCGAACCCAGAGGCTCACACAGGCTCCACAAGCCCTCTTCCACTGAATGACACACCGACCCAGGAATCTGCCTTTCACAAATCCCTCAGAGACAGGGACAGGCTTTATGAATACTGAGAATCTCAGTTTAGTTCGGTGTGGGACCTTTGATAGAAAATTACTACAAAAACAAAACAAGAAACAATTACTGCAGCGAAGGTTTTGAACCATGATTCATTGAAAAGCTGCCTTATCTCTTAAATTTTGACACTCTAGAGCACAAGCCAACCATAGCTAATACGGAGAAATCGGCAGCTCAAGCAGCGTCTGCCAGTGACTAACTCTGGAGTTGTTCGCTCATTTCAGCTTTTCTCTTTTACTGTGCCAGGATGAGGAGCCCAAGCGGTGGGAGACCTAGGGCTTGTATTGGTGCAAGAGAAATGAAAAGTCATATCAATATCTAGAAAAATTAGACATATTAGAAACACTTTCCAGGAACTTTATGGACATGGTGCACTTCTAAGAGGAAATGCTCTCCTCCTTTAGTCAGAGGAGACTTTAAATAGGGGGTGACGGTCCGGGTGTGTCTAAACTTTTGGCAACACACATTGCCATCGACAAAATTCATGCTCGAGAACTGAGCAATCAAGTCACCAAAAAAAAAAAAAAATTGCCAAAAAAAAGTTATGTTTTAAGTAAGTTTACAGTTTTATGTTGGGCTGCATGTATAGCCATTCTGGGCACATGGACCTGCTGGCTGCAGGGTTGACACACCTGGAACATAGATGAGGCATTGTCCCAATGTAACTTTAACACCTGGGGCAAAGAAAGGTCTTTGCAAATATCTCACTTATGTAAGTTTTTAGATATGTCTTTTCCAGAGGAAGCACAGCATACCAACACAGCTCTTCTGGTCAATCAGAGCTCTGTGGGATTATTCATACACTAAGGGGGTGTCGCCCGAATTCCCTCTGGGTCTCCTGTGCTATCAGACAAACCGTATATTTTACGTGCACTTATTAACTTACAACAGAATGAGAACCCAGTGCCTAGCCCCACGCCTCCAGAGGCGCTGCTCAGAGCCCACCATATCAGACCATGCCATGACTACCATAGTCCCCGCTAGCATTCACTAATGCCTCAGGGGTCAGTGATCTCGCCCCAGGTCCACAACAGTCAGTCCATTCTGTCCTTGAGCTGCTGTGGCTGGCTGCGCGTTCCCCACACCATGCGGGCTACCCGTGGATCCTGGCTTCCATCCCAAGATGGCTCCCAGCAGCCCCTTCATAGTCCACCCGCTCCACGTCAGGCCCTGCCCATTGGAGGAACTACCCAATTGAGAGACGGGGTGTCATGGTTGGCTTCAGATGTCAGTCTGACGCACCTGGGAAGAACAAACCTCAACTGGGGAATTTCCTCTATTGAATTGGCCTGTGGCCATGTCTTTGAGGCATTTTCTTGATTGTTGGGTGATGTGGGAAGGCCCAGCCCAATGTGGGTAGTGCCACCCTGGGCCGGTGGTCCTGGGTTGTATAAGAAAGCGGTTGAGCACAGGCCAGAGGAGCAAGCCAGTAAGCAGCATTCTTCTGTGGCCTCTGCTTTGGGCTCCTGCCTCCAAAGCAGGAACTGCCTTGAGGAACTGCTCTGACTTCCCTCAGTGATGGACTGTCACATAGGACAGTAAGATTCAATAAACCCTTTGCTAAAGTGGTTTTGGTCAGTATTTTATCACAATATAAGGCAAACTAGAACTGAAAGAGTCAACTGTCAGTGGAGGATTCTCTAAAGGCAACCTATCTTTCCAAGATATGCTCCTTCCCCCTCCAACCACTAACTACCAATAGCAACTTGGAGCGTGGAGCCTCTGGAGCACTTCCTCATCCATGATGGTGTGTTGACAGGCCCCACCTCGTGCAGGTCTTATGCAAGTAACCACAGCTGCTGTGTGTTCATGAGTGCAATGACCACCTCATGAAGAAAAGGTTCAGGTTACTCCTGCCCATGATGCAGAAGGGTTTGTAAACTGCCAAAAGTTTCTATTTATCCAAAGTCAGTAAAGCTTAACTGCTATTTTGTGTTGAATATGCTACACAATTTATGGTTTTAACACATACCCTCCCTCTGATTTAAACTGTAGTGGGTCTCAACCAAGGTAGAGGCAAACATCACACTGAACTCTTGTGCTACCTGTCCTGCATCCACTTCAACCATAGCTCCTCAACAGTTAACTTACCAAGCCATTGAATGGCTCATATTAGACTGTATTTCTGGATTGCTTCAGCAAAAAGAGGACAGAAGACTTATCTGTGTGATATTTTTAATGGATAGTTGATATCCTAGGCAACTTTAATTGTCCACCTGATACAGCCTAGAATCATCTGAGAAGGGAGTCGCAATTGGGAGATTTTCCAAATAACATTGACCTGTGGCTATGTCTATGAGGGATTGTCTTGATCATTAATTGATGTGAGAGGGTCCAGCCCACTATGGTGGTCTCATTCCTTGGGCAGATGGTCCTGGACTATAAGAAAGCTAGCAAAGCATGACCATAGTGAACCAGCAAGCAGTAGTCCTCCAAGGTTCCTATTTCAAGTTCTTGCTGGAGTTCTTGCGCTGACTTCCTTCAATGATGGATTATGACCTGAAATGTAAGCCAGTTAAACCCTTTCTTACCTTAAGTTGCTTTTGGTCAGAGTATTTTATCACAGCAACAGAATGAAACTAGAACACTCATTCAAGTTCTTAATATAAATTCCTTTTATTACAAAAATAGATCCTAAGTAAATTCTTCAGAAAAAAATTCATGCAATATTTTATGTATAGTGTATTCTTTTTAAAACATCTTTGTGTGTAAGAGTATCTTGTCTGCGTGTATGTTAAGTGCACCACGTGCATGTGATACCCACAGAGCCAGAAGAGGGTATTGGATCCCTTGGAACTGGAGTTACAGATGGCTTTTAGCCTCCAGGTGGGTACCGGGAACCAAACTCAGGTCCTCTGAAAGAGCAGCCAGTGTTCTTGATTGCTGAGCCATCTCTCTAGCCCAACAGCTATTCTTTTTTTTAAAATAATTCATTTTTTTTAATTTGTTGATTTTTTTTTTGGGTGTGTGTATATCACACAGAACATCCCAAACCATCTTATTCAAAAAAAATAATTCATTTTTTTTAATTTGTTGATTTTTTTGGGGGTGTGTGTATATCACACAGAACATCCCAAACCATCTTATTCATCTATACACCCACTTCCCAGATGGCACCCTCCCATAGCCTCCCCCCCACTAGAGCCCTTATACTCTGTCATCCCTGCTACTGTCCACTGTATTGTCAGCACCCCAGCCGTTCCCCACTACTTGTCCATCTGGTGAATCTAGTCAGCCTATCTAGAGGTCTTTGTTTTAGGAAGGTCAGCTGTTCCTCATCTAGCAGCAAACAGTTGTCAATATTTCTTTAGATAAGATTGGGGTCTACTGTTCATTTTCCCAGTTCTATGCTGGGTTCCTATCTGGGAGTCCCTTGGGCCATCCTGGCCAACAACTCAAAAGAAGGTATCACCTGTCTGGCATTGTTGCTTGTTATGTAGCCTTTAGCTATACATATGGACTCTTAAAAAATATTTTAGCCCCTTTAATCTTTGGTTATACTTTTCTTTTGGGTGTTTAAGGCGATACAATTGGTCCAGATAAACGAATTTATTTTTTCTCTTAAGGTCATCTGAGGATCTGTTCATCAGGGGTCACATGGGCTTGGGAGGAGCCCCTGGCTCCTTGCTTTTTACCAGTTCCATCTATGTGAAGATAAGTCAAAGGTCCTGCTCAATCATGGCTGGCTTCGCTTGGAAGCATGGAGGAAATGTTTTCTCTGTATTGACCCTCCTCTTTGTAGACTGGACACTGGTTCAAGTCCATCTTGTGGGGTCTCCACGGCCTCCTTGATCAAGAGGACAGGTGACCCACCACAATTACAGGACATTTTAAGAGATGCTTATAGTCCCCTGGAACTAGCTGACCTAGGAGGGCACGGAGCAAAAACTGTTCTTTATGTCCCTCTGACCAAATTAGTATAGACCTCAAAGTATGTCTGTTAAACATCCAAGAAGGTTAGTTCCACCAGTCTGGTACTTTTAATTACTGTGTGCCATGTAGATAAATCTTCGGCAAAGACCAAAAGCATTTTTTTTTTTTTTTGTCTTTTTGAAGTAGGATCTCCCTGTAGCCCCAGCTGTCCTGGAACTCACTATGTAGACCAGGCTGGCCTTGAACTCACAGAGATCCACCTGCCTCTGCCTCCCAAGTGCTGGGACTACAGGTGTGCACCACCATGCCCGGCTTAGCATATTCTTAATAGCCTGTTTAAGTGGTATGTATATTTGTCTTGAAAAACAAACACAATTAATGTGCTCTTCTTCGACATGGTTATATTAATTTAGTGTTTTCTTTTTAATTTACAGTTGGTAATCAGTGGATAAATTACATATCATTTTGTGGTCTGAGAACACATGCAGAGCTTGAAGGAAGCCTGGTCACTGAGCTGATCTACGTCCACAGCAAGTTGCTAATTGCAGATGATGACACAGTCATCATTGGTAAGCCTGTGTATGTGACAGTGCTCCTTTGAAGACCCTGTGCCTCAGTCTCTCTTGCTATTCCACACTCCTTGGCCGTTGAGAGAAGCACAGTGATATGATATCACAGTCAGTCGTTTTCTCTTTCATACTCCCTAATATGTTGTCTGTTTGTTTGTTTGTTTGCTGTTGTGCATACAAGTGGTGGTCAGAGGACAACTTAAGGAAGTCGGTTCTCTCCTCCTGTGTGGATCCTGAGGATGGAACTCAGGCTGTCAGTCTTGGTGGCAAGTGCCTTCACCCAGTAGAGGGATTGAAGGGAGGAGAACTCAGCAAGGAACATGTTTCAACAAAGAGTACCTTGAGGGTAATTTGTATATGTTTATTCCACATCCACCTGAGCTTCACTGCAGATCCAAGGTCATGTAAAATCAGCCAGAAGGGTTTTGGTTTATTACTGTCTGTATACTTAGCAGTATTTTTCCTACTGTCTTAATTTTGGATGCTATTAAGTCAGGGTGAAGAACAGGGGGGTTTGTTGTTGGGGTACTGGGGAGAAGAGCATGTATTAATGAAATGACAGCTCTCTTCTAAGATCAGTATGCTTCTCTTACTGAGGACACACAGTGGATTTCTTTTTTAATATCTTATTTATTATTTTTATTTTTGTGTGTATGTACGGGTGTATTGCCTGCATATGTGTAAGTACACCAATGTCATGCAGTGCCCTTGGAGGTCAGAAGGGGGCATCGGATCTTTGGAACTGGAGTTACTGATGGTCATTAGCCACCATGTGGTCGCTGGGAACTGAACCCAGGTCCCCTGCAAGAGCAGCCAGTGCTCTTAACTGCTGAGCCATCCCTCCAGCCCTACACAGTGCATTTCCACAAAGCCCTCTCCCCATTACTGGCTCAGGAGAGAAGCCCTAGTTGTACTTTTTGGATTGACTCTTCTGGGCTAGGTGCCTGCTAAGTTTCCTTCTAGTTTTGTACACACTGAACTTTTCATGTCACCATCACTAGATTATTTTGCCTTTAACATTGTGTTACATGAATGAACCCTGGAAAGGCAGGTTGAGACACAGAGAATTAATAACCAGTCAGAAAACTGAGTGGCCCAGGGTGAAGGCATGTTGGCTGAGAGAGAGGATGTATCCACTGCTGGGAATTCTCTCCTCTGTTTTAAATAAAATGGAGCTTCTCAGCTATAATAAGATAATTCCCTAGTCTTTAAGAAGCTAAATGTCATGAAATATTTTGAAAGTTTTGGGCAGTTCTGTGCCTTTTTCATCTCTATCCTCTACTGAGAAAAAAGAAAGAAAAATCTCGTATTCAGCGGCAATGAGACTGTCTTATCTGGAAAAAAAAAAAGGAATTCTGAAGCAAGAAAATGTACGCATGGCAGTGTGTTTGTATAACTCTGTATATGCAGCTTGGATAGCTACGTATATGCAAACATATGCAGAGAGACTGGAGGGATGGATTCTCTTAATATTTATACGAGCAGAGATCAAAGCTCTTCAGAGATTTCTTTTCATTGCCCTCATCCCTCATTTCTCAACGTTCTCTATAAGTGCCCCAAGCGGTTTGGGCCTTGGTCTTCAAAAGCCAGTCTCAGAATATTTTTGTATTAAATTTGGCAATTACATTAGGCAAGGAAAAATGTTGGTGTTTGCTGTAAAGAAAGAATAAACAAGGAAAGCCAAGTAAAATTCAGTTGATTTCTGCAGCAAGAGTTCAGAACTCTTGAAGTTAAAATTATAAATGTTTTCCTTTAAAAAGGGTCATTTTTACTTTCAGCCTGCTTTACTTTGCATAAAGTATAAATGCAAAGTTCTGTTTGGCAATACAGCTGTTATGTAGAGTTACTGAGTTTTTAAAATTGACTTATTTTCTAGAAAGTTCTCTCTGAGACTTTGAAGGTTGGTTTGTTTAGGCTGGCTATAACTGATCAAATTTTCATGGAATTCTTTTCTCTTTTAAAAAAATTTTTATTTGATTTTATTTTTTGTGTATGAGTATATTGCCTACATGTATGTTAAGTGCACCCATGCCGTGCAATACCCCCAGAGGTCAGAAGAGGGTATCGGATCCCCTGGAACTAGAGTTATGGATGGTTGTTAGCTGCCATGTGGGTGCTGGGAATCAAACCCTGGTCCTCTGCAAGAGCAAACAGTGCTGAGCCATCTCTCCAACCCTACCTTTTAAAAATATCTTATTTATTGTTTTTATTTTATGTGATGAACATATTGCCTGCATGTGAATAAATGCACCCATGTCCTGCAGTGCCCACAGAGGTCAAAGGAGGGAGTCGGATCGCCTAGAACTGGAGTTACAGATGGTTGTTAGCCTCCATGGGGGTGCTGGGAATCAAACCCAGATCCTCTGCAAGAACAGCCAAAGCTCTTAACTGCTGATACATCTCTCCAGCCCCAAGTCCTACTTTTTTTTAAGACAGGGTCTCCTGCAGCCCAGATTTGCCTTGACCTCCTTCTGTAGCCAGGATAACCTTGAACTCCTGACCCTCCTGCTTCTAGGTGCTGGGATTACAGGTGTGTGTCACCACACCTAACTAAAATCTCTTTTATATGTAGCCGTCTTTCTACTGTAAGCAGCCTGTTGATCATAAAATCTATGGAGTTTCGTTTGGGGCTTAGACATCAAATGCTTCCTTGTGAATAGCAATGTGTCCCTCAGAGCTCACAGAGAACTTCAGATCTAGAGGCACAGCCCATCTGGGCTCAGTAGAAGAACAAGTTTTCCTTACAAACAAATGAACCAAAACAGGCTAGAGCTGATGTGTTTGTTTTCTATTAATTCTGTAATAAATGGCCCCAAAGTTAGTGACTTAAGACACCACCACCTTACAGTGAAAGGCCAGTATGGGTATCAGCAGGATCACTGCATTCCTTTCTGGAGGGTTTGGGGGAGACTCCAATTCCATTTTCTTGCTATTTACAGCTTCTTACAGCTGTCCACATTCCCTGGCTCCTGACCCCCACCCTCCATCTTTGATGCTGGCAAAGTAGCATTTCTGAAAGTTTCCCAAAATCTCAACTCACTCTTCTCTAATTTCACCTTCTCCTGAGTCCTCCTCATGTTTTAAAATGTTTTGTTATTTATTTATTTATTTAATTTTGAGACTCACTCTATAGTCCAGGCTGGCCTGGAACTCACTATGTAGCCCAAGCTGACCTCAAACTCATGACAATTCTCTTGTCTCTGCTTTGCAAATGTTAAGATTGACGAAAGCAGGTACCACCGTGCCTGACTTTCTCTTCCCTTTTAGTGGCCTCTGCAGCTGGATTAAGCCCATCTGCATGATCCAGGATCGCAGCCTTAATTCATTTGCAGCCTTTGGCACATGACTAAATGTATTCATAGATTTTTGAGGGTTAGAACATGAGCTTCTTTGGGGATTGTTATTCTGCCTACTACAAAAGGGTTCCCAATTTCTTAAATGAGACATAGCAAAAATGCACAAGCCATAAAGGAACAGATAGCTAACTCTAACCACAGTAAAATTCAGAACGTTTTCATTAAAACATAATGTAAAGAGAATAAAAAGATAAGCCACAGACTTAAAGATGTTTGCAACACATTTAATATTCACAACACATAAGGGGCTCCTACAAATCAATGATAAAGACAAACATCCAATGGAAAACAGGCAAGGGAATCATGTAGCGCAACATCACCAGAGAAAATAGCCAAAGTTCGTAAATACATGAAAAGACGCTCGTGCTCATTAATACAGAAACGACACGAAGAACAGTTTTTCTTTTTCTTTTTTTTTTTATTTTGTCTTTTTGAGACAGGGTCTCCCTGCAGCCCCAGCTGTCCTGGAACTCACTATGTAGACCAGGCTGGCCTTGAACTCACAGAGATCTGCCTGCCTCTGCCTCTGGAGTGCTGGGATTAAAGGCGTGTGCCACCACGCCTGGCTGACGGTTTTTTAAAATACAAGTGTTAGCCAGGCTGTGTGGCCATAGGGGCTCTATCCACTGCTGGAGGGAGTTCAGACTAGAAGCCTCTTGGGTATTATCTAGTAAAATGCACACCCTGTGCCTAGAGGCCACTCCTGCATACACAACCTTGCATGTGTCAAGGCAGAGATATACAACTGTGTAGCACAGAATGGAGAGGATCAGGGACACTCTGGAAGCAGTGCCAACATCCATCCAGAATAGCATGAGTAAATCAAATCTAAAGGAATTTATGGCAGGTAAATAAATACATTACAGTTATGCACAGATTAATACCATTGAATGAAGGAAAGAAGCAACTTTCATGACCATCTACTGCATGATTCCAATGACCAACTAGTAACAAGTCTAGAGTAAAGTTTTTTTGGAAGACATGCAAAGTGATGAACACAATTTAACATCAAGTCTCCCCCTGGGGGACAGAAGGGCACACAGGAAAGTGTGTGAGGACCTCTGGGCAGAGGTAGTGGTGTTCTCAGCCTTAATGAAGAATTCAGTGGTGATGATTTTATTATTGCTTTGATGTACTGTGTTTTTACGTATTCTTTTGTGTATTTCTATATTTCAAAAATTCATGAAGTTTCCTAATAGCAGATTCAGAAGTGCCTGAGTAATTTCAAATGATCAAGGCTATTTCCTAATAAAAACAAGGGATTCATTACTACAAAAATTAGTACATGAACAGTGTGCTTTCTATAGACAGTGGAAATTCTGAGGACACATACTGAAAACAAGGTCAGAGTCTCCTCATCATCTTTGTGTTCCACATGAGGTACCGAGCACCTGTTTCCATTCTGTGTGTATCCTAGTTTCCTGCTCTCTCTCTCTCTCTCTCTCTCTCTCTCTCTCTCTCTCTCTCTCCTTCCTTGTTATGCTACATAGAAATGGGGAGGGGGTGCCCTAGTCCTGTAACTCTATTTCTGGATTTGGGTTTGGGGATACAGGAATGTTGAACAGCAAGAGTGGAGGTGCCATTGATACTCATCAGTATCTCCTTGTCAGTATCATGTTTTAAGCTCATCTAAGAAAGTGTGCAGGGGTCGGAGTGTGCATGTGGAGGCCGGTGGCTGACACAGAGGGTCGTCCTTGATTACTCTCTACCTTATATGTTGAGGCAAAGTCTCTCACTTGAACCCAGAGCTCGCTGTTGTGGTTAGTCTACCTCGCCAACTTGCTCCAGGGATCCCCTCTGTCTGTTTCCCTTAAGCCAGGATTGCACTGATTAGCCCACCCAGCATTCATACGGGTTCTAGGGATCTAAACTCCTCACTTTTGTGCAGCAAGTGCTTTACCTACAGAACCATCTCCATCCCCTTCTTCACACTCCTGTTACATAGTAGTCCACTCTCTTACCTAATATAGTCTTGAAATTCAAGAAGCAAAGCCTATCTCTGAGAATCTTAGCTCACAATGCCAGCAGTGTATTCCTGTACTCAGGAGTGGAACTGTCATAGGAAGGGGCTTAGTGTGTGTGTGTGTGTGTGTGTGTGTGTGTGTGTGTGACTGTCATAGGAAGGGGCTTAGTGTGTGTGTGTGTGTACGTGTGTGTGGAGGTTGTCCAGGCCAGCTCCCACCCCAGTGTTCTGGCAGTCAATAGAGCAGCACCACCCAGTCCAGAGCACCAGTCCCTGAGTGGCCTCTCTTTGGGGCAGGAGAAGAGTGAAGACCCAGAAAAGCACCTTTGGAACTTCGCTCCTGGTATTTGAAGTTCATAGGCCTAAATAGGGGTTCTCAGGTCAGAGAGCAGGCTGGGATACAACTGCCACATTCCAGCACATTTCTCCAATTTGTGGCCCTAGTAAGGCCATTTCAGGGTTAACAAGTATCTGGCAACATAGCCCGGCAGTAGCTCCCATTTGCAAAGCAGCTCTTAGGTCCTTAAACACTTTCACATGGACTTACTTCATTCCCACAACAACCCTACACGGGCTGTGTTATCATCTAAGATGACAAAAGATCAACTCACAGCTGAGAAAGATTAAATGGCTTGTTCAATTAATGCTGGTCAACTGTCATGTCCAAAGATACAGTTGGAAATTCTACAGCTTAATGAAAATATAAGGGTAGGAATCAAGGACCGTTTGTTGCTTACAAATCAGAATGCAGGCCAGGCATGGTGGCACATGCCTTTAGTCCCAGCACTCAGGATGCAGAAGCTGGTGGTTCTTTGTGAGTCCAAGGCCATTCTGGTCTATATACTGAGTTCCAGGCCAGCTGTAGCTACATAGTGAGACCCTGTCTCAACTTCCCCCAACAGGAGCAGAAAAGATGGTTCAGTGGTTAAGAGCATTGACTGCTTTTGCAGAGGTCCTGGGTTTGATTCTGAACACCCATATGGTGGCTAACAACTGTCCATAAGTCCAGTTCCAGGGGATCTGTCACCCTCTACTGACCTCCACAGGCATTGCATGACATACATACATGCAGGCAATACATTCATACACATAAAAAATAAAAATAATAAATTTTTTAAAGCACCCCCCTAAATCCTCCAAAATAAAACCAGAATGCATCAAAGTTTCCACTGTACAACCTTCCAATTAAGTGTTCAGATTTCTGTAGGGCACTTGTTCTTTCTCTGTCAAGCAGGGCCACTGTGGGGTCACCTTCATATCTACAGACATCAGCTCTGTGACAGCATCCTGGTATGTGGCAGCTGAGCCTCTTGAGGACAGCTTTGCCTCATGCACAAAAGCCTACCGCTCGCTCTGGAGTCACAGCTGCTGGTAACTCCTGCTCCAGCTGCCTCAGTCACCGAGGACAGCAGTGTGTGTAGTGTGGCCTTCTGTGCAGGGCCAGCAGAAGCAGCAGTGTGACAAGGACCAGAGGAACAAGAGGGAAGTCGGGAGGACCCTGTCTGCCTTTGTAGGGCACTCCGAGGACTTGCAAGCAGTTAATGCAGGAAACACATTGGGGTTTCTGAACACAGCCCAGACCCACAGAAAACTCAGGTTGAATGACTGTGACAAAACTTGTCCTTCCTACGTGAAACTCCACATCCTTGGCACATTGGGGTTTAAAAATAGAGTGGAGGGAAGTTGACACCAAAGCCTGCCATGCAGAAGTAGAAAGTCTACAGCCACCAATGATACTAGTATCAGATTAGATACTAATGACTAGTATCAGATTAGATACTAATGACTGAAGGAATGCCTGGCTTTTGACATTCCTGGTTGGATAAGTAGAAGTTAAAGAGTAGTTTGTTCTTAACATTAAAAAAAAAAAAAATAAGCCAGGCATGATGGCACACTTTAATCCCAGCACTTGGGAGGCAGAAGAAGGTGGATCCCTATGAGATCAAAGCCAGCCTGGACTACATAGTGAGTTCCAGGCCAACTGGGGCTACAGGAAGAACTTGGCCGCTCCCATCCCCGCCTCCCCCCACTTCAAAGAACCCACTCAGCATTGAACTCATTCATGGTTTTCTCAACTGGCATTCTTTGAGACTGAGGTAGAAAAATAATGCCTGTGGAACTATAAGGAGAATGTAGTATTTAACAAACCGTACATGAAAGCTCTGGCGTTGGCTAGTTTTAGAGACCAAACACTAACAGTCTTTCTTTCTGTCTTCCAGCCTCAGTTTGTTTGACCCCTTGTGGTTGCAAAATGGCTGTGGAAGCCGGCAGAATCTTGTCTCCATGCATCCTTTCAGATCAATAGCCATAGGGTGGGAACAATAGCATACATCTCTCCTTTCTCATCAGACCCTGGAAAGTGTTTCTTCTTGCTGATTGGCTAGAACACATCCAAATGCCAACACCTGAGCTAGTCACTGACAAAAATAATGGAATTGCCATGACTGACCTAGACTGATCCAGATTCACCCCTGGGCTAACCCTACAGAGATCCCACCTCCCCAAGGCACCGCTTCCCTGGATAACTTGAACCAAGCTGGGATTTTATGAACAAGGAAGCATGGGATGGGGCGGGCCACTGGCGTTGCCCATCACGAGAAGGTGGTTCAGTTCCTCTGTTTCTCCTTGTAGGCTCTGCCAACATCAATGATCGGAGCATGCTGGGAAAGCGAGATAGCGAAATGGCTATCATCGTACAGGACACAGAGAAGGTCCCATCGGTGATGGATGGAACAGAGTACCAAGCTGGGCCCTTTGCCCAAGGACTTCGGCTACAGTGCTTCAGGTCTGCCCTGCAAAGCAAACTTCTATTAAGTAGCTCCACAGTCTCGGGCACCGGGGCTCAGGGCGACCTCCTGCTCCAGCCACTCCTGCCGTTCCAGATTCCCCTTCATCTAGGACAGAGCCTCTCAGAGCAGAGGGTATACACTGGTATACAAAATGGCTTTAAAAATACTCAAGCATGTTTTATTTTAACAGTTTTATGTATAATAACACAAGCTACCATTTTAAATATAGTCATTGGTTTAAGACCAGGCCAGGTCAAGTCATCTGGGCTAGGGTATGTTTAAGTTTTTAAAAGTCATTTTATTTTTAAAAATCAAAATAGAGACTGTAATATGGTTCAGCAAGTAAAGGTGCTTGCTGCTAAACCTGAGGACCTGAAGACCTGAGTTCAGTTCCCAGGATATACAGGGTAGAAGGAGAAAACTGACTTCTGCTGTAATCCTTTGACCTCTACATTCGTGCAATGACATACGTATATGCATACCTGCACACGCGCGCGCACACACACACACACACACACACAAAATAAAAATAAATAAGTAGATAAGTAAATAAATAAACAAAGACTTATGGGGCTGGAGAAATTGCTCAGCAGTTAAGAGTACTTACTGTTTTTCCAGAGGACCCAGGTTCAGTTCCCAGCACTCACATAGTGACTAACAAGGGACCCTAACTCCAGTTCCAGAGGATCTGACTCCCTCTTCTGGCCTCTGCAGACACTGCATGACACAGGTGCACTTACACACATGCAGGCAAAATATTCATGCACATAAAATAAAAATTAAAACATTTTCAAAAGATTTAATATGTACTTCTATATTATTGATACAGGCATGCAGTTTTATAAGGGTATAAGTATCACTAAAAGGGATCTAGTGACTGCTAGCATCAGGTTTCAATGTGAAAATTACAGTTCCCAGGTTTAGGAGGACTCCAGATATGGGAGATCCCTGGTCCTCATAACGTGAGTTTTGTACAAACCTATGGTCAGAGAGAATTTTGAGGGGCTGTGTAACCCTAAGGGTAAGTGCTGTTGTTAACCCTAGGGGTAGAGGCTTTAACTTCCTCCAGCTCCTGTAGTCTCTTCTCAACAGAAATCTTTACAGAACCTTGTAGATCATATTGTTTCTCTGCTCATTATCAGAAGTAAACAAGGAACAGGTAAAATCCTTCCAGGTAATACTGGTTTCACAGTGTCTGTCGGTACCCTGACCATTCTCTCACCTGTGGGCCTTAGCAGGTGGTCCATGGTTGATGGTTCTGGAACTGGACTTACCATGCTGCTGTTTCATTGTGGCTTCTAGGGTGAGCTGCACCAAGTGTCCCTGACATAGTTAAGGAGTGTGCTCTGTGCGTTTGGAGGAGGGCATGCACTGCCATTTTCTTGATTCCTCTTGTGTTAATGGTCCATTTTAGAAAACAGCTCACATGCAGAGGGTGCTGTGCTCCCTGCCAATATAGCAGGCCTCTTCTTCCCTAGTCACGGTAGGCTCTGGCTCCCCAGACCTCGGTAAGCATCGTTCAGACACGTTCATTTTCTGCCCGCTGCTGAAAGAGCTCAGCAGAGCCCTTGAAGCCTGCCTGTGTTTTTTCTAAGCTTTTAATTATTTGCTTATTTTATGTTCTGTGTATGTTTTGGCTACGTGTATGTAAGTGCACCCATGTTGTGCAATGCCAACTGAGGTCAGAGAAGGACATCAGATCCCTTGGAAGTGGAGTTATTGATGGTTGTTAGCTGCCATGTGGGTGCTGAGACCAAACTCGGGTTCTTTGCAAGAGCAGTCAGTGTTCTTAACTACTGAGCCTTCTCTCCAGCCCAGTGTGTCCATACTTTTAACAGCTTCTATTGCTGTATTTGTTGCCTTTATTACTTATTTGACTCGGTAAGAATTTTTTCAAATCATTGATATTCCAATGAACTGCTGCTCATTTGTTTTGTTTAGCAGGGGAGAATTTAAAATTAGTACCCTGCTAATCAACTCACTGATTTCCAATTGTGGCATATACAAGGAAATAATTATTTCACTTTGTAAGCTGAAAATATAGGTCATGTCTTTTCAGTTCTGGGAGAACTTACATAGTCTCTTTAAAGTGGTAGGCTTCTTTGTAAATTTTAAGCATATAGTAATTAGCGAGGGACAGGATTCTGGTTTAAATCTTTAATTGTAGAAATTTGGCAAATACAGAAAACCAATTAGAAATTAAGATAATCTGTAATTCTGCTACCCAATGTTGACAGTTTTTAAGGTTTGATTTTAAATTGATACATAAATTATGCATGCTTTTGTAGTATCTTATGTTTGGGAGTGTGTGATCACTGATTAATATTTAAATGAGTGTAAGAATATCTTTAAATATTTTATTTACTGGGGTTGGAGAGATGGCTCAGTGGTTAAGAACACTTGCTGCTCTTCCAGAGGACCCAGATTTGATTCCCAACACCCACATGGTGCCTAACAACCATCCAGGAACTCCAGTTCCAGGGGATCTGCTGCCCTCTTTTGTCCTCTGTGGGCATTGCATGTATGTGGTACACTTACATACATGCAGACAAAACACTCATACACATAAAATAAAAAGAATACATAAAATATTTTAAATAAACATCTTATTTACTATTCATTTCTGAGTGTGCATGCATGTGCATGTGCACGTTTGTGTGTGTGCGCATGTGTGCACATGCACTATGGCTCATATGTGGAGGTCGGAGGATAACTTTCAAGAGTCAGTTTTCTCCTGCCTTGACAAGGCAGAGTCTCTCTTGTTGTTTCTGATCTGCTGAGCACTCCAGGCTAGAATCTGTGTGACAATCCTGTCTCCACCTCCCATCACACTGTAGGTGTGAGGTTACAGATGCATGCCTCTGCATCTGGTTTTTTACTTGAGTTCTAGGAATCGAAGTCAGGTCCTCAGGTTTACACAGCAAGAACTTTTCCCAGTGAGCCAAGTCACTGGCCCAATGGGAGCATATCTATCAAGTCAATCCTTTAAATTCCTTGTGAAGACATTTAAAATCCCCCTTCCAGCTTCTTTGAAATCCACAGGCCCTTGCCAACCACAGTCACCCTACTATGCAGGGACATACAGTCACCCTACTACGCAGTCACACACTAGAGCTGCTTCCTTCCACCTGCAGTACTTAGTTCCCAGTGGCCACCGCTGCCTTCTTCCCTCCTGTCTCCAGTACTGGTGACCGCCACTGCCCACTGAGACATCTGTATGGCATCCTTGTTAGGCTCCACATAGGAGATCACACAGCCCCTGTCTTTCAGGGTCTGGCTTGTTAGCTCCATTCGTGTTGCCATAAATGACAGGATTTCATTCTTTTTGTGGTTGAGCAGTATTTGATCGTGTATATGAAGAACATTTTTTTAATCTGTTCTTCAGCTGACCAGACACTTAGTTGGTTCCATTTTTGGCTTCTCTAAATGTGATGCAGTGAACATGGAATGCAGTTGTCTCTGACACACAGATGTCACTTCTGTGGATGTAAACCCAGGACTGGGGTTGTGGGATCATTTAGTTATGCTTTTGTTTGTTTGAGACAAGGTCTCCCTGTAGCCCCAGCTGGCCTCAAACTTGCTATGTAGACCAGGCTGGCCTCAATCTCACAGAGATCCACCTGGTTCTGCCTCCTGAGTGCTGGGATTAAAGGTGAGCACTATCATGCCCTGAACTTTTAATTTTTTGAGGGCCCTGTCTATGGGTTTTCCATGATGCCCCACTGATGTCTACCAGTACAGTAAGGGGTCTTCCTCCACAGCTCACAAGTATGCTAACGATTTTAATTTTAATGCTGTATGGCACCTGATTTTTCCTGCACATGTTTTAATATATTATCTCTCTTTACAAAACAGACTTTGAACCTTGCAGAGCCTGAATATTCTTAACATTGTAAATATTTATTTATTTATTTATTTATTTATTGTGTGTGTGTGGGGTGTGTGTGTGTGTGTGTGTGTGTGTGTGTGTGTACCACAGCCCCCATGTGAAGGTCAAAGGACAGTTTGCAGGAGTCAGTCTCTCACCACGTGGGGCATGGGGATCAAATTCAGGTCGCCAGGCTTGGTGACAGGTATCTTTTCCCACTGAGTCATCTGCCTGGCCCCTGAATAGTATTATTTAAATGTTTCACATGATCTTCCATGTCAGGAAGTATTCTATGACATTTTAATGGCTGCATGATATTTCATTGTATGTATATGTCACAGTTCTTTAAATTAATACCTTGTTGTTTGACACTGAATTTTTTGCTGATGTTAAAAAATGTGGGTTTTATTTAATGCCAACCAAAAATGCATCAAATTTTCTTATGTGAAAGGAACTTCTTTTTACCTCCAATTTCTTATTATTTTACTAGTAATATTTTAAAGGACTTATTCTGTCAGTTTCTACCGAGGTCTATTACTATAGTTAATCTTTGGCATTTTGAAAATTTCAAGTAGAATTTCATTATTTTGAATTTTATAAGATTTTTTAAAATGTGTGTATTAGTCATGAGTAATTGTTTTGTTAATTGCTTAGCCTTCCTTTGCCCGTTTTTCTTAATATTCAACTTGCTTTTAATAACCGATAATTACTCAAAATACACAAGATGTTATTTCTTTCTTGAGTATACTGTAAGTAGAGTCAATCAATTTCTTCTTAATCCTACCCTATTCAATACAGTTTAGGGAGAACATTTTCAGGTCTTATTAAGCAGATTTATCAATTTTTGCCCTTTATTTGCTCAGACTAGCTTCTCTAGCCCAGGATAAAATATTTACTTATGCTTTTCTAGTATTTGTTTAGTTTTACATTTAGCAGTTCATCTTTTTTATTTAGAGCTAGAGTCTCATACTGTACAGCCCAAGCTGACCTTGAACTTAAGGTCAACCACTCAACCATCTCAACCACTTCAATGGCAGGATTCCATGTGTGTACCACTTTGCTGGCAGGGTAATGAATTTTTATGTAAGAAATGAGATTGAGACTCTAAGTTTTCCTTCCTCAACTGAT